TAAATCAGGTGCTTCCATAGCAGCTAAGGTGTTCGAGGAACCCTAAAGAAACAAAAAAAGAAAAAAAAAGGAGGAAAAGAAAGAAAGAAAGAAAAAAGATAACAAGCTCAGTCCACAAGTTCAATGATCTACTAAAGAGAAGTGTAGGAGCAAACAATTAAGATATCACCACCATTTTGAAAGTAGAACCAGACTAAAACTTACCGAAATTTGAAGTTCATTCAAATTAGGTGAGTTTGTAATCAAGCGAAGAACAACAAGTATCTCGTTCATATCTTCAAAACTCACTTGATATAATTCTATTATCCTTAAATGACTGTATGTGACAGGAGGTCTCCCTGGGTAATCACCTATACTCAAATACTTCAACACAGAGAACACGTAACTGAAAAGCATCTAGAAATGACTGTAAATTTAAGCAACTTGACAAACCAAACACACCTTTGTGAAGTATATATGCCCATCAAGCCTCTCAAGATGTGGTACACCACCAAGAAACTTGATGAAATTGCAACTAGAACTTTGTTCACAGTGCTCAGCAACATCTTCAGTCATATACATAGCAATCGAAATAGCAACTAAAAGGGGAGTGTTTTCAAGGCAAATATCTGTAAATTCACCTTCCAGACACAAACACTTGAGGTTTGGAGCACGGATGGTAAGAGCTAAACTATCAAAGTATGACAATGCCAAACTCTCAAGAAGGGGGCAACCAGAAATAAGACTTTCGATAGCCTCAGGGGCAACACAGACCTGGTGAAGGTTGAGGCTTTTCAAGCAAAAGAATCCTTTGAAACTAGGAGGTGGATCAAGTTCACAACGAAAAAGCTCCAAATGGGTCAACTTCTTGCAACTGAAAAGGCATGACGGAACTCTAAACCACTCCTCATCTCCCAATTCAAGAACCAATTCTTTAATACCAGTCCTCGAAAGGAAGAGCAACCATTGGTCTATATCAGGGCAACATTGCAAGTAACTAGAAGACAGCCAGAACTTGTGAATCGGTCCTTGGTGAAGAAAAAGAGCATGGGTAATAAACTTTACAAGACTGCCCTCAACTACTGATTTGTCATTAGATAAAGTAACACATCTGTCATCAAATACAAGTTGTGTAAGTGTAGCCCATTTGTACCTCCACTTACTTGACAGAACACTAGTCCTTACAGCATCCCGTATTGGTAATCGGATCAGGATGCTTTCTATAATGCTTTGAGGCAAATCACTTAAAAGATCCGATCCCAACTCATCATCCATCTGCACATCTCAAAATCAATTGAAATTTTAAGCAATATGTCTCAAAATTTCAGCTCAAAACTAGAAATTTAAAACAAACCATGGAATTTCCCCTCAACAAGGAGCCCTTCTGCAAATTAAATTGAATAAAGGCAGTCCTATTAGAACATTGAATCTTGAGTACCTGCAACCAATTAAAATCTTAAACCGCCGGAAAAAGATTCACACTTTACCTAAATTTGCATTTCTTCTTTCGTAGAAATCAAACCATTATAAACAGAGTTGAGGAAATTCAGCTTCTTTCGGGAAATAAAACCAAACCGATAATCTAAATTTCCCATCTTTTTTCATCGGCAACCAAACAACACGTAATTCATACAATTATGAGCTAAATTCGCAATGAATACTGAACTGAAGCTGATGATAATATCAAGTATTCAAAATCAACCCGGAAATCAGATGGATCAAATAAAAATAAAAAAATGGTAAAATAAAAATGAGATAAAAAGGGTAAGAAGAAGACTAAACTGAGATTGGATTGGAGTGGAAGCAGTAATATGAATATGTTTGGTCCCTTTGTCACATACTGCAGACCTAGTTTCTGCTCTTCCTCTTTGGATCGAAAGCCTCCGAGTGAGTTTCAGACTCAGCAGGTGGAATTCGGAAAAAGAGACCCCTTTACTTTACCATTACCTTTCCTCTGCTCCATCTTCCTCGATCTTCTTCACTACAGTCCTCTTTTTTTTTTTTTTGATAAAAGAAAACGGCAGCATCAACTTGTCGTCTGCTGCTTTAATACGGGACGAGGGCCCGAGATAAACTCCATTTGGTTGGGCCTTAC